TCGGACAAACCGTGACTGGGCATATGTCTAGGTCTTTTGGCAGACGAATGGGGGGAATCGAAAGTTTCGAAGCGTTGTCTTTTGAGGGCTACACTTCTGCTTTGACTCAGGTCTCTGGGCTTTTTTTCTTGGGCTACAGAAATTCCTTCCTTGTAGACACCATCCATAGTTGCTTCGGGATTGCTGGTTTTAGCTGGCTCCGCAGGTGCAGCCACATCTGAAAAGGGCATTTCGTCAAAGACCTCATCGTAAAAGCTCTCGCCCAGCAGGTCCTGTTTCGTTTCAGGATCCTCTCCGGTTCTCCCTTCCAATAAGTTCCCCCTTGATCAGAATCCGAGTAATACTGTCCGTCGGTTTGAGAGGACAAAGCGAGACCCTCATCAACCGAGATTTCGGGTACTTTATTCTCGCCTGATTGCTGGGAACGGCTGCTATCAAAGGCCAAAGTACTGGTTTTGTCAGGAAAGAGGTCCTCAACACTGTCCAACGCAGTTTTGACATTTTTGGCTAGATCATCGATACTCAAGAACGTTCCAAATGACGTATCATTGTTGCCATCCTGGTGTTTCTCATTGGCAGCAAGCTGAGCAGCCATCTCACGAAATTCTTCCTCGTGTATCCAACCACTTCTCGACTGATCTCTTGGATCTGCAGACATTGAAACCAATTCCTCGGGTCCAAACGGGGTGCTTCCGGGATCAGTAATGCCCATCCTCTTTTTGCGTCTGCGAGTTTCATCCTGCCACAGTCCAGCCATGCTAGGAACGAGCCGCTCGTTAACCGCGACAGGTTTCAAAAGCTCAGTGAAATCATGGTGTAAAGGCCGTTCCTTTACCTCAAGGCGGTTCAGGATATCTTGAACACAGATATCAACCTCCAACGGGCAATTGCTTTGCTTCTGTAATGCAGGGTGATCGAGTATGCTCTCGGGTGGGATTGAACGATCGTGCCAGCGATGGGCTAGATTGCTGAGTTCGAAATACTCAGGCACCGGTGCTCGGAACTTGACTTGACTACAGTTCATAGTTGCACATCCGTATAAATTGTAGTCACACATCCATTGCGGGATGTATTGCACATGTGCTTCGTAGGGTTGAAGCGGACGTTTCATCACGGCTCCCTGGTGCAGAAGATCAACCAGACGAGTTGTATGGAAGGGGTTTAAGAGATAAATTTTGAAGAAGAACCGCCATCCAACATGGTATCCATAGAACGGAACTCCTTTCACCAAGGTGATGTGTGCCACAAACGCTGTCCTCCGGTCATATGCATTTCGGCGAAAACTGACCGCCAGAGCATGATCGATTGAGAGATGAAGAGTTCTGATTGCCGAGTTTACTGCAATTTGGTAAGTCAACCCATCAAATCATGAATATGACTATCACTAACCATCTTCTAGCGCCAAGGATCCGGTATATTCAATGTAGAGGTATGGAAACGCGCCATGGACATGTACGGCAACTCTCTGGCCGGTCTCGGTGGCTCCAAATATTCGAATGACAGGCACCTTTGGCTTGAAATCTTTCTCTGAGACCTCATCACGAAAAGGCAGTGGAGGATCCAACTCCGACGCCGTCGCCTGGTAATGATCGATACAGTTGAGACGCACACGGAATGGCTCCATCGCTCTGGTGTGTGGCGACCAGAAGCCACAGCAACATTGCGAAGGATAAATGGTTCACGCACCGCTTATTGCATGTGTGTCCTGTTTGGCATCTCAATAAAAGATAGTTGAGAAACGCGACCGAGGCATGTCCATGACAACGCGAGATAACGCCTAGTCACGTGCTTCATATCAATTCTCCACCCGCCAAGCCTATCGCAACTTCATTCATCTTTCATCTCAGGACAAGAGGGAGCTACAGGTGGCTCGATCTACTTTCTCACTTACTTCTCTTTCTTTTCTACTCAAAACTCGTCTCTTCCCTATTGAACCTACCAGTCATGTCGCGAAAGCCTGCAGATGTGGCGTCAAAAACGCCCAACGAGTACATTCCATCTTTCATCTCGAAAAAGCCGTTCTACGTCGACGATGAGACAAACAACGACTACCTGGAACATCAACGTCTCCAAAAGGCGATTCCTGATCAGTCAAAATGGTATGATCGAGGAAAGCGTGCGGGCCCAGCAGCCACCAAATACCGCAAAGGCGCATGTGAAAACTGCGGCGCGATGACACACAAAACCAAAGAGTGTCTGAGTCGACCACGAAAGCAAGGCGCCAAATGGACTGGAAAGGATATCCAGGCAGACGAACTTATCCAGAAGGTCGATGTGGGATGGGACGCCAAAAGAGATAGGTGGAACGGTTACGATGCTACCGAATATCGCCAGGTCGTCGAGGAATATGAAGAGATGGAGGCCATCAAGCAAATGGCGAAGGATGATTCAAATCTCAAAAAGCTTCAAGCCGATGAAGATGGCGATGAAGCCCCCGATTCGGATATCCGGTACGCCGAAGAATCCGACATGGGACGACAACAGAGTACCGCAACTCGCAACCTACGTATTAGAGAAGATACTGCCAAATACCTGCTCAACTTGGACCTTGATTCCGCCAAATACGACCCGAAGACACGCCGAATGGTGGACATGGGCGCGCAGGATGATCAGGCCGCTGCACTTGTCGCAGAGGAGAATTTCGTCCGTGCTTCGGGCGATGCTGCGGAGTTCGAGAAAGCCCAGCAATATGCGTGGGAGTCACAAGAGAAGGGTGTGCCTCAACTACATATTCAAGCCAATCCAACATCTGGAGAAGTTCTTCGAAAGAAGGAGATAGTTGATACTGAAGCTAAGCGTGAGGCGCATCGCAAAGCTCTCCTGGATAAATACGGTGGTGGGGAGCACTCAAAACCAAGTGCGTTGCGAGAGACGATGGTCGTTGAAAACGAACGATTCATTGAATATGACGAGAGCGGTGCCATCAAGGGCGCGCCCAAGAACGCAACCAAGTCCAAATACCCGGAAGACGTGATGATCAACAATCATACTTCGGTATTCGGCAGCTGGTGGTACCAATTCAAATGGGGATATTCCTGTTGTTGTTCCACTGTGAAGAACAGTTACTGTACAGGGGAAGATGGAAAGAAGGCCTTTGAGGAAGAAGGCAACATGTTGATGATGACTGGAGCAGCCGACGACAATGACGAAGTTTCTGAGACCGCTGAAAATGCGGATCTCGCTCGCGAGTCTGAGCAAGCCGACGGCAAGGATCAAGAGCAGGATTCAAATACCAATGGGAAAAAGCGGACGCTGGAGGAATTGAAATCAGGCGTCACAGAGGACGAATACGAGTCATACAAGCGGAGCCGGTTGGCTGCTGAGGATCCTATGGCGAAGTTTTTAGGAAAAGATTGATTCCGATGATGTTCTCCATATACTACTTGCATGGGCGTTCGTTCGGATGTACTAAAATACCCTCTTGATGTGCTGTTTAAACAGTGAACAAATACACAACCCAATATTTTTTACGCCTCTTTCTGGTGTAGATAATATGCATAAACGAAATACATAAATCAATATGAATCAATGCATACCACTCTATAATTGGCTGGCTTTCTTAAGACGAAATAGTGGCACGTGACTTTGACTTAAGCACAGACCATCGAAATCCAATGAGGGTTAGTCGGTCACGGGATCCAGACAAGCCCTGATGGATCCACGTGATTGACTAACGCACTCGCTTAGAGCACAATCGCCAGATCTTGGGCAAGTTTCGAGACGCTTAGCGACGACGACCCGACAACCAGCCCCTTCAACGGAATTGCCAGGTACGTCCGCATGCTGGTCCCTTCACCAGTGCTCACTTCACCCCCGTCAATTTACTAACATATATCCTCGCCCACAGTTCCATAATTCAAGATGAGTACGTCCGATGCCGAAACATCGCACCGCGATCCTCCGCAGCGTCGAATAACTTCAAACTAACAACCGCCACAGCTAAGGGTACCTCGAGCTTCGGAAAGCGCCACAACAAGACGCACACTCTGTGCCGTCGTTGTGGTACGTATTACACCCATTTTTCACGATCCCACCCATCCGACCCGCAGTCGCAAATTTCTACATCGAAAGACGGAATTAGCGATTACGGCGGAGACAACCACACAACCTAGCAAGAACAAGGGCTAACCGGTGATATCTACGACTCTACAGGCAAGCGGTCTTTCCACATCCAGAAGTCGACTTGTGCCAACTGTGGCTACCCTGCTGCCAAGACCCGCAAGTGTACGCAAATACCCCTCCCGAGAACGTTGGTGATATGAATGGTGGCCATTATTTGCAATTTGGGTACCAAGTTGAGAACTCTGGCTTACATGGATTTTTTTTTCTCTACGAACAGTCAACTGGGGTGAGAAGGCCAAGCGCCGCAAGACCACCGGCTCCGGCCGCATGCGCTCCCTGCGCGATGTCCACCGCCGCTTCCTTAACGGCTTCCAGACCGGTACCCCCAAGGGTGCCCGTGGCCCCGTCACCAACTAGATTCCCTTTTCGTCCGCTCGGCGTCGCGTTTTCGTTATCGGAGAGGCTGGAATAGGAATGAGGGGAGGGATCCTGGCATGACATGAATTAGCATTACGGGATAGCATTACTCGAAATGCAATGGCAGTTCCGGACTCTTATCGCTTTCCCGTGGAGTTGTTGGTGTGTGCAACTGTCGATCACGTTGGTTCTCTTTGCCACGCCAAGGATGACAAAGTAGAACTCGCGAGACGATGGGAAAAGTTTCGTTGAGGGGCTCTTTTCTACGGAAAAGAGCTGGATTAAAAAACCCTGGGAAAGCGTGAATGAATTTCCTTTTTTTTCGATTATGGCTGGCGAATATCCCATGTCATGACAGATACAATGTGAAGACTCTTCCTACCATTTCATGGTCTGTTCTACTCAGTACGAGGCTCTTCGATTGAAAAGACGCAGATGCTTGGATTGGACATGATTCAATGGCTGTGACGAATAAGCCCGTGGCTCTAGCGAACATCTAACCCATAGTATACAGTCTCGACTCATGATTCTCCACGACCAAACACCTTGACACCTCCATCCCGTTGAATGAAGTATAACGCCTCTCGCTCTTCCAGGCTCTCTTCTTCACTCGTGTTCAGCCCACCACCTCGGCTGATTCTCAGTACTCCGCTCACATCTTTTGCGGCGCCAGTATCCAAAGTGCGGAGCTGCATGACCGACCGAGCCCGATGCGCCAGCCCAATGACGAGTGCCGCATGTTCTGTCTCTATTGGCGTAGCCACTTGCTCTCCCGATGTGGATGCATTGTGTATTAATGGAGCATCCGTAGCTAACGTCAAAACCGTAGCATGTGCATGCTGTCGAACAAATAGTCAGCCATGTCGTAACCGTAAACCTTGATTTTGCCTATCAGGAAGTGATAAGGCCTTACCTGTTGTAGCGCTGTGATCCACTCCGACATTTCTGTTGCTCCGATTCCCATACTTGGACCTGTCGCAGCAAGGAGCAGGTCAGGCTGGTCTATAATGAGGAGAAGCTCATCGCCATCTTCCATTGAACTCTTTTGCTGTTCAATCACTGATAGGATATCTTTCTCCAATGCGTCAAGGGAGGCAAGACCACGGCCAGAGAAATGGAGCTTCTTTGCAATCCCAGGTTCAGCCTGCTTCGGTGTCACACTTCCTCTCACTCCTGTAGTTGTTGGTGCCACCGGCTGTGGTGACCTTCCAGGTACGGCACCAGGTGCAGACCGCATTGGAAGCGTTGTGCGAGGACTGCTTCCCAGACCAGCCGGTGAGATACTGGGGGAGTTGCTGTGGCTTGCGGTGCGTAGAACAGCTCAGACAAGCCATCTATGAACGCAAATTGTTGCTTATCTGCCAGACGCGCAAGGTCAAGTCCCTATAAGCCTGATTAATGGTGTCGATCAAAGAATGTATCAATACATGAATAATATAGGACATGGGACGCAAATACATGTTCCAAATTCAAATATCAGTCAATATGTTGGCTCAACTTACCAATCGCTTTGCCTCAGCCCTCCAGAACTCATAACTCCGCATGAAGCTTACCAGCACCACTTTCTTCTTGGTGCCATTGTGCTCATCTGAGCCGAATGCCACATTGGGGCTCGGTGAGCTCAGCGCAGCATGAAGAAATCTCAGGACCAGCCAGTTTGAAGTTGCACCAAGGATAGAAGAGACTAGTGTCAAAGATGAATCGGGCAGATTTGATACATATGAAGCGAGGAGGGGCGGTAGTGGGGGTTGAGAGGGCATGATTGCGCCTCGATGCAGATATCAATGCCGTTCTTTGTTCCTGGCAGGTTAAAGATGGACCAAGCCAGCTTTCACTCCTTCTTCTCCAATTATTGGCTCTTTGTTTGGAGGCGTTGCTGCTGATCGAGTCGTCGAGATGATGTCGAGAAAAAATGTCTCCGGCTTGTGATTGGCCCCTCCACTATCCAGCCATGCCAAGACATAGGATTTCGAGATGATATTGCATGGGATTTGATTTCTCTTTGTTATTTCTCCATTATTGGATATGGATATAGTACAATAGTTAACATACATTCGAGTTTCCGGGTATTACCTACTCAATATCTCTTGATTAAATGTTGTCAGGACGATCATTGCGAGCAATATATATAGTTCCTGTGGTATGCTTCCCGCTCAAAGTCCACACCATGCATTTGAGATCCCAAACTGATGCAGTTACTAAAGGGCAAACTACAAATAATACTGCATCTAAGCTTTGAAATAACATACCAACGGTCAATACGGGCTGCGATCAGAATTATTAAAAAGAACGTATGCCTGAGGCATCAATATGAGTTTTCTGCACGTATCACCTGACCAGTTTCCCCACCATCGAGGGGAGCGATGGATGCATCTTATCCATCGCATTGCAAGAGGCTGTGCTCTAGTGCCGATCGTGAGTACATTTTCCATTCTAGAGATCACTTCCACACCGCTATGTGTATACGCATCCCAGCCCTACCATGCTTATGTGCTATACATGATATCCGATGTGGGGGTCTTCTTGCGAAGCATTTTCTGTGCATTATATCAGATGAATTAGCTAACTTTTTATACAGATGACTGTCGTTGTATGGCATGATCTTAGCGCATTGGATACAAGATACGAGACATCCAACTTACCTCGATAAAGATGGCTAGCACTCGTGATTCCCACTCATTTGCTGTATGTATTGATCCATCTGCATGATAACTGAGCTATAAAATGCGAGAGTTGAAGCCTGACTGTTCAAATAGTGCGACGAATGCCGCTTGCGCAAGTCAAGAGTAAGTGCTTTCTTTATTAAACACTTGCAGGCCTTGCCTCATTTAACCCGGGTTTTATAGTGCTCAAAAGAGCGACCAGTCTGTCTGCAATGCCGACAGCTGAACAAAGAATGTATATACAGCCCCAAAGTCAGCAGAAGTCCTCTGACTCGGCAGTAAGTGACCAGAATCGAAACATGCTTTGTATTTGAAGACAAGACTAACTTGACCTCTTCAGACACTTAACCTATGTTGAAGATCGCCTACACTCATTTGAAACAGCCCTCGGAAGGCTTTTCCCAGGTGGTGATCTGGATGCTACACTCCGTTCTCTCTTGCAAAACCCAGAGGTTCCAAGGGCCCCTTCATCCAAGTCCTCTTCAAGGCACTCAACCCCCAAACATGAGCCAGAACGGGCTGAGCCAGCACCAGAAGCTCTCCCACAGCAAGCCGATGGCTTTGACTGGGCTGAAAAAGAAATTACGCTAGGTGATTTGACAGACGGCATGGCCGCGCTGTCTATTAAGCCCGAAGGAGCTGGCTACTTTGGTTAGTCCATTCAATATCCATTATGGATTATGCTTGTCGTTTTCCAAACTGACACATAGATCACAGGAGCGTCTTCAAGTGTCGTACCATTACGAGCACTTTTTGATCATGGATTTGATCTGAACGTACCTGTGCGCTCGGCAAGGTCAGGAGGTGTGCCTCTCAAATCACAGCTTCTGGAAAGTGCCCCATCTGGACTGATCGAGCAAGCGTTCATCGACGCTTTCTTCCTCAATTATCATACCAGCTATCCATTTATCCACGAGCCTACCTTCCGGATGCAGTTTAACGACCCATCTCTACGCCCACATGGTAACGCTTGGCACATCCTCTTAAACACGATATTAGCTCTTGGAGCCTGGTGTATCGGGGATGACAGCTCAGACCTCGATATCACATTCTACCAAGAAGCCAGAGGATACTTGCAGCAGGCATCCGTGTTTGAGACTGGCAATTTGACAATGGTTCAAGGATTATTGCTACTGAGCAACTATGCACAGAAACGGAACAAGCCCAACACCGGGTGGAATTATCTTGGTCTAGCAGTTCGAATGGCCATGAGCTTGGGCCTTCACAAGGAGTTCCCTGGCTGGAAGATCAGTCTTCTACAAAGAGAAATCCGCAGAAGATTGTGGTGGGGAGTTTTCATCTTCGACAGCGGCGCGGCTAAAACCTTCGGAAGACCGATCCTCCTCCCAGAGGACAGTGTCATGGATGCGAAGCAGGTTCGAAATATCCACGAAGAGGTATTTACAACCAATATAAAACATAAAAATAAAGCGGCTATAACTAACACATTACAGGCATTGACTCCCACAACAATAACTTTGCCGGCCGAATCACCCGGCCCAACCATCTACTCTGGCTTAATTGCACAGGCTAGCTTTCATCTCCTTACCAACAGCGTCTACCAACGCCTCATTTCAAGCCCCAGCCTCACCCCAGAAGACACACTAAACCTGCAAAAACCCATCGAAGAATGGTACAACAGTCTTCCATCCTACCTTCAACACCCGCAGTTGCCTCTCTCCATGCAGCCAACCAGCCCAGACCCCGACTCTCTCGCACTCGTGCGCAATCGCCTGCTATGGCGAAACTGGAACCTCACCATTCTGATCTACAGACCAATCCTACTCCGCTGGGCCGCTAGACGCTGGGCCCCACTTACCGGCAGCGGCCCAGGCACCCCGGATGCAGGGTCTGAAGATCCCTTCGAGACGGAGTGTCGGTTGCGCTGCCTCCAGAACGCGCGTCTGACCATCTCTTCCATCTCGGAGTACATGGCGAACTATATGTGCACCAGACTTGGAGCATGGTATATGCTGTATGTATTTCCCCATACCTAATACTCCACAAGAATGACATTTAACATTAAAAAAAAATAGCTACTTCCTCTTCCAAGCAGGCCTCATCCCCATAGTCTTCCTAATGACCGACCCCTCAAACCCTGAAGTCGCCTCCTGGCTCCAGGATATTGAAACCACAAAATCCCTCCTAACCCACCCCTCCCTCGGCACAAACCGCTTCGCAACCCGCTGCTTCGAAGTTATCAACCGACTCCTCGGTCCACCCACGCACCCAGTGCCACAGGGGCTCCCAACCGACGGAGACCAGCTCGACCCCCAGCAACACCAGCAACAGCACATCCCCCTACAACCACTGCCTAACATGATGCCGTTCCCCGAGCAGCTCTTCAGTGATCCTGGATTTGGAAGCCTATTCCCAGGCGAGCAGCACTTGCAGATGAATACGGGTGGCATGGACTTTTCTGAATGGGTGAATTTCCCTGCAGCAGAATGAAGAATGAATGGGCGTAGTTTTGTTGATTTCTTTTATTTCTGTATGTATTTTGCATTGTAGGATGGTGAGTACATGGGAAAATGGAAGTTAGGAATTTCTTTTGGAAATAATGATATAATAAGTATGGGCATTAGCGAATACTTCAAATGTGTCGAAGCAGTCATCTCAAAATGTATAACTAGTTGTACAACAGTTGTAGATAGTTCTCTTCCTCTCCTTGCGCAACACAGAGATTTCCAGTTCACTACCATTAGTCCTATTGCATATATCTAAGAGGTTATAAGTCCTTGGCCGTAAAGCCTATGCATTCTTGTATGCTTCACGCCCCTTAACTATTTCCTTCTGTGCTTTGCGTCGCACAACAAAACTCCACTGTGGATATCTGATCTACCTTATTTACCTTGGTGATCTACCTAGGTACCTTGGTAATACAGTACGTATGCCTTCTACCATTGACCGTCCATTCACATCGGCCGTTCGGACTGACTTGTCGACCCCCGACCCATCGGCCGTTCGAAACCCACCCGCCATTGACGAGCAGCACCCCGGTGCAGCTGGAGAAGACGCCATGGCATCCGCTCATGCATCTACACAATACAACATTGACAATTTCGACATTGACAATTTTGACATTAACAATTTCGAGATCGATCGCTCAGAGATTTATTTCCATAATGTCGTCCCAAAGTTGAAGGGACAATCTAACTTCAGGGACTGGGAGACAGGCCTCCTTCTAGGGCTTAGTGCCAACAACGAATACTACGCCCGCATGCTCACCCATGGGATTCCGATTCCATCTGCACCGTTCTACTACAACACCTCGGTAGATGCAGTTCGTGCAGAACTACTTGAAGCTGCAAAGGCAGTCTCTGGTGAGGACACTGATGACATTGTCATTACCTCCTCCCAAGTCCATACTCGAACCATTGAACTAGAAGAGATCAATGCCCAGCGGAAGGAGAAGTACGACTCCCAGCGTAACAACTGGAGAACATGCAACTCACGAACACTTCTCAACCTTCGAAAGACCCTCGGTATCGAAGCTATCTCTCTTATAGCACAGATAACCGACGCTCGTGAGGTATACCAGAAACTTCGAAAGACATACGCCAGTCCTTCTCACCAACAATCATACGACTGCTATGCGAAGTGGGTTGACTTGCGTTACAAGAATGGATCTGCATCCAACTTTGTACGTAAATTCCAAGAAGCTCTTCGTGAGGTGACTGCAACATCTGGGGCTCCAAGCCAAATGCTTGAATTGTGTCAGTTCAAGAGAGCAATTTTCGAGAATCCACGATGTGCCGCCTTCCTACAAAACCTTCGAGTCAATGAGGAGGATCCCGACTGGATGGACGAAGTCTACTTTGAATTCATCGAGACAGAGACACACAACCGCTTGGTCAACGCTGCCTGGAGAGAACGAGAATGAAGGGTTGATAGTTTAGAGCTATGTTGACTATGGTACTAGTCGTTGGAAGGCACATCACTTAACCTCCACTGTTTGCTCCCAGTATCACTAGTTTCAACAGTTGTAGATAGTCCTCTCCCTCTCCTTGCGCAACATAGATATTTCCAGTGTACTAATATTTCATCTGTAGTCCTACTGCTTCATCTCTAATAAAGATTCACCTACCCTTAAACTAGCGGCCAAGAGATCTACTAATTTTCTTCAGATTCAGTTCAGATTCAGTTCAGGTTCAGTTCAGATTTAATTCAGATTTAATTCAGACCTATACCCATTTTAGAAGGCATCAATTTTATTAACCTTATAATCTCGGTATTTAGACATCTTTAAGCATCTCCAACATTAGTGGATCTAAATTACTGCTGACAATATGACAATATGAACCAATGACAGAGTTATGTGTCGGTGGCATACTTAGTCGCTCGTAGAAGCCTTCAAACAGGATGGTCTATAGGAACCTTAAAGCGAGATAGGTGGTGTGTGGCAACCACTAAACAAAGAAGACTCAACTTTCTACGTACTAGTTGTGTAGAACACAGTCATTACAGTTGGATTTGATATAAAGTGTGTGCAATCCTATACTAAGAATAAATATTATACACACATCATGTTCATCTTTACGCCGTAAGTTATTTGCATTGCACGTTGGCGGTCATGCCTGCTCCAAATGCACATCGATCGGTTTGATAAAATCATCTTCTTCAATCGGTGTTCCGCGCAACTCGGCCTCAATGTGCTTGATGCGCTTCTTTTCTTCGTGGGCGGCTGTGTCGCCGAAAATGAGATCCATATCTTCGAGTGTCTGTTGAAATGGTTAGCATGGTTAGTCTTTCATGGATAAAATGAGTCCAAGCTGGAATAGAGGGTTGCGGAACGTACCTTTCCACGGGTTTCGGGGATGCAGAAGAAGGTGAACGCAAAGGCAAGAAGACAGAAGGCAGCAAAGAAGATGTATGTGCCCCATGTGATAGACTCGAGCATATCAGGGGTGACAAGACCAATGATACTGCAAGACAGGGTTATTAGAATCGATTCATTAGTCTGAATGGGAACGCTGTCACTTACAAATTGCACATCCATGTTGCCGAGGTTGTGATGGAGATGGCCTTGGATCTAATAGAAAGGTTGAAGATCTCTGAAGGTAGAACCCAACCGATAGGGGCTGGTAGTGAAAATGTTGTTAGTTGGTTACTGGAGAATAAATGCAGGAAGAGGTATAAGACACGAACTTACCGAATGAATAGGAGAAGTTGATATCGTAGATGTAGATAAAGGCAATACCAGCCCAGCCGGCGGATTTATTGCTCACGAGCGAGGAACCAAAGCCACCCAGGATGCCGCCCACAATTACCAGGGAGATGCAAGTTCCTGCGGCGCCTGCCATGAGAAGAGGTCGACGACCGACTTTGTCGATAAAGAAGAGAGCGGGAAGGGTGCTAAGACAGTTGACGATTCCGTAAACGCCAGTAGCAAGGAGGGAGGTGGTGTTGCCATCTAGGCCGAGCTGGGCGAAGATCGTAGGTGCGTAGTAGATCATGGCTATACGAATTAGATACAGCTATATATGGATGTGTATGTAGTGGAAATTACATACCATTACAACCCATGAATTGTTGGAAGAACATCACGATGCAGCCAATAGCCAATCGTCTGAAGCGGGACCATGTTGTGAAGAACGACATGTACTTTTTGAGGGTGTTAGCGAAGTCGGATCATAACGGAGGGGTTTGTAACAAACCTGAGCAACGTGCAACTTAAATCCAGACAGGTTAGGGAAATTGTCCCTCGCAAATGAATTCTCTAACATGATAGAGGCCTTTATTTCAAGGTACTCATTAAGGAGAATAGGACTGTCACGATCTTGGCGGCGCAGTCTTGAGAGTGCGTGTAGCGAGTCGTCATCACGCTCCTTCATCAACAACCAACGGGGCGAGTCTGGGAAGAACAGCATTCCAATACCCAGGATGACTGCTGGAACGATCTGCAGGGCGAGGGGGAGACGCCATGACACCTCGGACTGCCCAGTACAGCCACCAACAGGAACATCATGGTAAGGGTCGAAGATAGGGTTTGAAGTTGTACCACCGGAGTACGGGATATCAGGAGCACATCGGGTACCGCCGATATAGTTCGTTCCATAGTCGATCCAGTAGCTGAACAAGATTCCCAGAGTGACGGATACTAGACACAAATCAGTCGACGTGTTATATCCCAACTTTAGAGAACAACTTACATTGTTGTAGAACCACCAGTCCTCCGCGAATCTCTGGAATAGAAACCTCAGAAATATACAGAGGCACAACCATGGTCAGTTGACCAACAGCCAAACCAGCAATAGCTCGACCGGCGAACAGCATTGAAACATTCATAGCAGCGCACTGGATGACAGAACCAATAACGAAGACCACTACTGCCAAATTGATGGACATCTTCCGGCCAAATCGATCGGCGATAGGTCCATTGATCAAGGACCCAGCCCAAGCTGCAAGCAACAGTGTTGACACAAACCAGCCCTTGAAACCACTTTCAGAAAATACACGAGGGTATCGAGCTCCAAAGGACTCCATGGTGATAACACCGCTGACAACACCTTGATCATAGCCAAATAACAGACCACCCAGGGTCGAGAACTGTGTTACGGTCAATAAATTGATATAAACACCTTATGCAAGAGAAGACACTTACCGATGCTACACCGCAGAGAAAGGGATTCTGTAGGACAAGCGCAAAGCCGCCCCTCGGGCTGCTATCTCCAACAGTAGCCATGATATGCCAGTATTCTCTGAGCCGGTGAGAAGGGAAGTTGCTCCTGTTCGCTAGGCTTTATATATAGACGCTTTCTAAGTTAAATATAAGAACTGCTCTCTGCCGTCTAGGAAGACAGTGCTCCGTCTGGGGTTTGGATGAAGCAGGAACACAGTACTCCGAGAGCTGATAGCAAGGCACAAGACAAAAGGCACATCTGATAGAATGAATATCAGCGGAGTGTTCTACTCCGCACAAACTGAAAAAGGAAAAGGGGGGAGAAGGCCGAGGGCCTTCCCCGAATTTGGGGTGGGCCTAACTTCTCCCGAGAGTTTTGATATTGCGGGGAAACCTTGTCAAAGTTGTCGAGGAGTCATAGAATTGGATTTCTTGAAGTAAACACAATATAAACACCGTATTTATCTATTAAATATTAGCAAACACCTTTCTTATTATCGGAGACAAATTCCAATAAAATCCAATAAAATCCAAAGGTCTACAGAAGGTCGGCAATGTCATCTCGAAGCCCCCAAGCCGGTGCGGAACGGCGTCAGGTGGGAGAAATCTTATTTTCGGGCTCGGGTTTAGTCCGAGATATCACAATGGTTTTTAGTTGCAATATGATTAGAATATTTTGGATATATTTTTATTTTGAATTGGTTTTTCCAATTGGGATAGATCACAAGATGAACTCATTATGAGCGAATACCTCAATCAGGACCATTGCAACGGTGATTTTCCACTTTGTGCTGCCAATGTGAAACCCATCTTCACTGTAAAACAACTCAACTTGCGCGGTTATGCGCAAATTTGTCCGGAGATTATCAAATCCAGTGCTAAAGAGCAGCAGCTGGACTTTCAGACGCATGTCATCTGTTGGATAGTGGTTTCCCAAGAAACATCAGGTGCAAAAGAATCGACATCTGACCTTCTCAGAGCAATGTGATAAAACCCACTCTGCTGGAGTCAAACTTCAAGATCTCAAACTTCCGATCCCAAACTTCAAGATCTCCCAACCTTCCCTCCCCTTCCTTTCCCTCCACCCCCACAACCATACACACAACCATGTCCACCGCCACCCCCCTCCGAGTCGGCGTCCTCCTAGTAGGAACTGTGCAACTCCTTGACCTATCCGCCGTGGACCTCCTCTACATGACAACCCCAGAATACCTCAAAGAATGCTCCCTCCCACAACCAATGATCGACCTAGGCCGACCCTGCGAGATCCACTACATCGCCCAGAACGGACCCAACAAAACAGTCAACACGACCTCACAGATGTCCCTCCAATTAACCAACTCACTCACAGACTCCGCCGTTTCCCCAGGGAAATTGGACATCCTGCTAATCCCCGGTCCGCCGCCAAAATCCATGCCGCCAGCAGAAGAATACCTGGACTTCGTGCGCGCACATTTCGCGGCCGACACGCCCATCTTGAGTATCTGCACCGGGGCATTTGTTATCGGGTACGCTGGGATTGTGGCGGGGAGGGAAGTTACGGCGCCGCGGTTGTTGATTCCTGAGATGAGGAGGAGGTTTCCTGAGGCGAAGACCTGGGATGATTCGGTTAGGGTTGCTAGGGATGGGAATTTATGGACTAGTGGTAAGTTTCTTTTTTTTTCTTTTTCCTTTTCTTTTTCTTTTTCTTTTTGGATTCAGGACTCGAATTTGGTTTATAAACCAAATGGATGTAGATGTACATGCTGAGAGACTCTATAGCTGGAATTACAAACGGACACGATCTCGTCGCTGGGTACCTGCGTGAACATTACTCTGCCGCTCTGGTAAATACGATTCTCGTCGCTGCAGACATCCCTTCCCGTCCGGCGGCATATGCCAGTTCTGTAAGGAGTGATACACTGTATGTGCTGTGGCAGGTTATTAAGGCACTTCCGAATGCAGTGATTCAGTTATTTAGTGGGAAATGACTTTGTACTTCGGCTTCTAGAACAACTTCACATCCGACCGACGTCATCCCGAGGAATCTCCAGATGTTAAATTTGACGATCAAAGTACTTTGTTTTTTTTTTTTTTTTGTTTGTTTTTTTTTCTTTTTGGGGAAAAAATAAAATAAAATCCCACATTTAAGTACGGTACTTTTATTTGAGACATTCACATTAATTGAATAAAATATAAATATACCCAATCAAATAAAAGCCCGAGTCCTGCAGGACTCGGGCTAGACTCCGGGGCTAACTAACTATAAGGAAGATATCCACCCATCAAGCTCTGCATCCGAATTGAGCGAGACGATCCTATCCCATGCACAATACCAAAGTACCTACTACCAGGATTCTCGGCAGATCGCGGAAGGGATTGACATGAACATCGGACACGTCGACACAACGAGTTCCATGCAACCTTTTGCTATCATTAGTTGCATCAGAAAGGAATATTGAACCAGGATGAACCCCTACCGCCATTAATGTACCGGTGTCGAAAATAGGGAGAGGACCGAAGATCAGGGAGCAGAGAAGCAGGGATGATAATCCTCTACGGAGTACATATGAAGTGTTTATGGGGCCATCGAGGACTCCACTTTGTAAAGAAAAGACTCGTCGGCTTGATTCCGAAGTCTGGATCGGCGACACTCCTTGCTAGAATTATTTCGGACATTAATGGATGCCCGACAGAGTGGTTTTAAGGCGTTGAAGCAGACGCTCGGTTAGGTTTTATTCTTCCATTGCCGAGGTAGAGGTTCTTTTGTGTATGTAAATGAAAGGAAGAGATAAATTAGGATTCTACAGGTAGAATGAGGACTGGATTTATAGACAAAGCTTGACCCTGCAATCATCCGAATTGGGCTAGATCATATTCTACCATCTGTGAAATATTCTATCCAATAGAAAACAAGGACAGTTACAACGTCTAGCAAATTTACATTCTACTCGTATACCTAAAGATAGCTATGGTTCAATAGTAATGCATTTCTTGCAGTTCCAGAGCCCTAAAAAAAAACGAGAAAAGAAAAAGAACAGAGAACAGAAAAGAAGACCCCGAGGTTGAAAACGATGGAAAAGAAACAATCTGGGCGAGAACGCTCGTACCATGCAACGCGCTGCACCACGCTAAAGAGGACAATCATTGAGAAGAGAAGTGAAGAAGTTGAGGAAGACGAAGGGGATAAGAAAAGGGGGGGGGTAATGTGAACGAAGCCGATCTCTAGACCCGAAAGGGAAGAGGTCGAAAGAGACATGTGCTGACCACAAAACCATGATACGAGTCGAGCCAATTAACCCAGGATGATCATTATGAAGAAATGAGAAAGGAAACGAGATCCACGGCTCTTGTCATGCACCGGAAAGTTTTATTTTCGTTCATGTGGTTCCCAATGGATGGGTTCAAAGTCGGAATTCTGGAAATGGGCTTGGTTATATGGGGAACTAAGAGAGAAAAGTCAATAACGACACCAATTATACTATGAATAACCTCGACAAAACTCACTTTTTGAAAGGCGTCGTGACTGGCAACGAACGACTGAGATTGGGTTTCATCACCAATGGATTCAGGCGAATCTGCGGGCCGTCGGATGACCGACTAGGCAACGAGGTCATCGGTGGCGGGGCGGAGGATGGTGGCGGGAGTTGTGGGGGAGGAGAGACAGGAATCGACGGAATGGGTGCATGGGTCGGCATAGGCGATTGGTACATATCTTGTTGCGGGGACATGCGGAATGGACTGGCGGGGGTTGGCGAGACAGAAGACATTGGAGACATGGGAGCGCCCATCCCAAAGGATGTGTCCTGCATCAGATTGGGAATGGCCATTAAGCTTGAATTAACGTCGAACCCGAGAGCAGCTTGATCCCAGGGGGAGTAGTCGGACGTCATTCCGTATTGGAGGTTAACTATGGGTGCCATATTCAAAGCTTCAACTGGGTAAAGGAGATCATAATGGCCTCTGTGGGAAATGTTAAAATCGGTACCACACTTGTTAACTGCTAAATTAACTCACGGTCTGTATAGGAGACGGATTGTTGCACCATTAGGACTATTAGAGGATAGTTGGTGGGGTGTCACGACGTCGCCTTCACTTCGGTCGAGATAAAGAATTTCGACGCCAAATCCAGAGCCTTCGATCACACCGTCGATCAGTGCCTGGAGGCCAACTTCGTCGATTTCGGTCTTCACTAGGTCTATCCGCGAGCTGCAGTACTGGTTCAGTGGCATAGGAAGGAAAGCCTGGTACCGGTTCGGGTTGAGCTTCATCCACGCGCTAGTCAAGATCTGCAAGGCGAGACAATCAGTTTACGACCGGTAACAAGGAAATGGAAGGGCAAGAATCATCCAAAGGGAAAAAAAAACTTACTCGGAAGTGGGTAATGATAGCATCAGAGCAGTAACCCTCATTGAAGGCCTCGACAAGGAAAGACTCGTCCTGAGCGCCATTTTGGATAGCAGCCTGGGTTCGGTTGAGGACATCTTCTGTGGCATCGACAAAGATCTCGTAAATGGAATCCGACAGGCCGACCCGTTCCAAAAGCGTAGTAAGAGACTTCATTCTCCGAATCTCCGCCTCGATCCGGAGGGTGTCTCGAAGGGCGAAAAGGGTCTCGAAATAACCAAATGCCACAGCTGTATAGAATTAGTATGAAATACACCTCATATCAAATGAAGATGACCATACCTCTCCAGCCACAATTCCCATCGCCTTTCATGATACGGCATTCGGGATGGGTGATAGCAAGCGCCTGCGAGTAACAAGTTAGATGCGAGACACATTATGGTAACACAGGAGGCTCAAGCCACCAAAGCTTACATTTGTCTTTGTAGCTAGAGTTGGATCCGCATTCGAGTAATCCAAGGCGATGCTGTGGCTAGACTGTTTGGTTGAGACAAGGGGGCCCTGTCGACATGGTGTCAGCCATTGCTGCAGATCGGGATAATCGAAACCAAATACCTGGACTTCCGGCTGGTAGCTGTTGGAAAGCTTCTGAAAGCGCTCCATCTCGTCTGCCGAGAGAGCATTCATATTGGCGGAGTTGGAAGAGATTGGGGAGAAAGCAGCTGATAATGAAAGGGCCACAGGAGAAAGAAAAGACGAGGAAAGGGCGTCCCGGTAAAAATCAACGGGATTCTGCTTTTCCGGGAACGGCTGATGAATACCGAAATGATTCCAAGTAGGTTTTGATAAGGACATCGCACACGGTTTGAAGTTGTGCTTATTCGAGATCGAAGAGTCCACGTAGTGGTTATTATGTCAAGGTTTTCTGACGATGTTAGAAAAAAAAAGAAAGAAACTTAACCTGAGGAAGAACAAAAAATATAAATGTAAAAAAATAAGTTGACATACAGATCGAATGGACATTTCCTTAGAATGGGGAAATACGGCTCAACACTTTTTGCCTTGTACGACACTGAAGTGTGTCCCAGCACAGCAGATCGGCTATTACTATCAGAGTTTCAGTATGATGATCCAGACGCAAAACATGCATAGCAGTCAGGTTAAATCAAGCCCACAAGCACCCGGAGGCACCTATAGGAGGATGGATACAAGGAGAAAGATAGGACAAAAAGAAAGGGTGTACTACGAGCCTCTTAGGACAGGCAGTTCTCCCACTCTGATTGGGGCATGTAAAAGAAGTTTTGTGATGAAAAGTCCAGAAGCCAAAAGGGAATATCACAATGTCATTGTGGAGAGAGGGAAACGGGGAAGAATGTCAGGAGTCACCACGGGAAAAAGGATATCAGCCGGTTGGAAACGGCTCCTGATGGAGGGGTGCACGAACCAAAACCAGATTGGTAAGACAGGGATCCCAAGAGTTCTGATTTTCCAGATGATTGAGCGGATATGGATTCCGGAGAATTGAATGGAGATCCAGAAGGCTGTGACAATAAAAAAAAAAAGAAAAAAGAAAAAAAAAGGGGC